TCATCCATGTCATTTATCAAGACATTGAACAACAACGGGCCCAGGACAGAACCCTGCAGCACCCCTCTGGTCACTTTTCCCCAGGATGAGGAGGAACCATGAAGGAGTCTTCTTTGGGTTCGGTCCGTCAAATCCACCTAACAGTTACCTCATTCAGTCTCATTTTACCAGCATCCTCACATAAATATCACAGAGGACTTTGTCAAAAGCCTTACTGAAATCAAAATACACAATTTCCACAGCAGTCCACTGATCAACAAAGTTTATAACTCCATCCAAAAAAAAGAAAAGAAAAGGAGAGATTTCTCTGGCTTGGCTTGTTTTTGAGAAAGCCATGCTTTCATCCTGTATGTTTATATTGTAAAATCTTCAGATAAATTTTAAAAAGGATAAATGAGGATATAGACAAGCTGGAACATGTGCAAAGGGAGGCGATTTATGTATTTATTTAATTTGTAAACCGCCCGACCCAGTGGTGCCGACTTGAATAAAATATTGGTGAGGGGCCAGGTAAGGCCTGCCTTGCACTATCAGTCACATGATGCATGCACACCATTTGAATGGCAAGGTCTATAATGGCAGCAACTTTTTAAAAAAGTAATATTTTGAGCCGGTAGTTCAATTTCCCAGCAGCTCCCCTTGCCCCGGAGAACACTTCTAGCCTTCCATCTCCTCTACCTGTGGCATTGTTCAGCAGTGGGGATAGTGACCTCTTCACACCAGATGTCCATTTGGTATGGCCCTTTCCAAGTTTGTCTTTCATTTGTTCTCCTATGTGTGTTGCCAATAGAAGCCAAAATTGTGTGGGTACTCTAGGTGGTGCAGAAAGCTGGTTTTGGACTACACCTCCCATCATCCCTAGCTAGCAGGACCAATGGGGAGGGATGATGGAAACTGAAGTCCCGGGAGCTGCAGGGGACCCAAGTTTGGGAAAGCCTCCTTTAAAGCAACTTTTGCGTTGGGACCTGTCCACATTTGTATTTTCTTGTATTTTGTTTTTCTCATGACCTTTGTGCGGTTTTTAAAATGTCTTAAAAGGGCAAATTTAAAGCAAAATTGTATGGCAAGTAGCGGAAGAATAAAAGGTTGCATTTGAAAAAACACAAAGAAAACCTAGGGCGTGGCCTCCTCAAATATTTTATGGGGGCAAAGACCCCTAGGAATTTAAGAGTGGCTGTATTCCCTACACCCACACGTCTCAGGATGCTTGGAACATAAAAACACAACATAAAAACACAAAACATCACATGTTAAAATAGCATTAGATGTCAATAAGAAAAAGGCCTGGTTAAAAAGGTGTGGATTTGCCTGGCTCCTAAAGCTGTATAATGGTTTTTCTGACCTTTGTACGGATTCTTTGATGGGAAGTGAGAGAGGAGCTCTTCCTGAAACTCTTTCCACATTCCACACACTAATAGGGTTTCTCCCCTGTATGAATTCTGTGATGGGAAGTGAGATTGGAGCTCTGACTGAAGCTCTTTCCACATTCCACACACTGATAGGGTTTCTCCCCTGTATGAATTCTTTGATGGCAAGTGAGAGAGGAGCTATCAGTGAAGCTCTTTCCACATTCCAAACACTGATACGGTTTCTCCCCTGTATGAATTCTTTGATGGGAAGTGAGACTGCAGCTCTTCCTGAAGCTCTTTCCACATTCCACACACTGATAGGGTTTCTCCCCTGTATGAATTCTGTGATGGGAAGTGAGAGAGGAGCTACATGTGAAGCTCTTTCCACATTCCACACACTGATAGGGTTTCTCCCCTGTATGAATTCTGTGATGGTAAGTGAGAGAGGAGCTATCAGTGAAGCTCTTTCCACATTCCACACACTGATAGGGTTTCTCCCCTGTATGAATTCTGTGATGGTAAGTGAGAGAGGAGCTACATGTGAAGCTCTTTCCACATTCCACACACTGATAGGGTTTCTCCCCTGTATGAATTCTTTGATGGGAAGTGAGAGAGGAGCTACATGTGAAGCTCTTTCCACATTCCACACACTGATAGGGTTTCTCCCCTGTATGAATTCTTTGATGGGAAGTGAGAGAGGAGCTACATGTGAAGCTCTTTCCACATTCCACACACTGATAGGGTTTCTCCCCTGTATGAATTCTGTGATGGGAAGTGAGAGAAGAGCTACATGTGAAGCTCTTTCCACATTCCACACACTGATAGGGTTTCTCCCCTGTATGAATTCTTTGATGGGAAGTGAGAGAGGAGCTATTTCTGAAGCTCTTTCCACATTCCACGCACTGATAGGGTTTCTCCCCTGTATGAATTCTTTGATGGGAAGTGAGAGAGGAGCTATGAGTGAAGCTCTTTCCACATTCCACACACTGATAGGGTTTCTCCCCTGTATGAATTCTTTGATGAGAAGTGAGAGAGGAGCTCTGACTGAAGCTCTTTCCACATTCCACACACTGATAGGGTTTCTCCCCTGTATGGATTCTTTGATGGGAAGTGAGATTGGAGCTCTTCCTGAAGCTCTTTCCACATTCCACACACTGATAGGGTTTCTCCCCTGTATGAATTCTTTGATGGGAAGTGAGAGAGGAGCTATGAGTGAAGCTCTTTCCACATTCCACACACTGATAGGGTTTCTTCCCTGTATGAATTCTTTGATGGCAAGTGAGAGAGGAGCTATGAGTGAAGCTCTTTCCACATTCCATGCACTGATAGAGTATCTTTCCAATGAGATTTTGTTGATGGGAAGTGGAATTGGAGCTCTGACTGCAGCTTTCTCCACACTCCAATTTTTTGTGTGGTTTCTCCTCTCTGGGGATTTTTTCGTGGTCACCTTTGTTCTCAATTTCCAATTCATCACAATCTGCATCGGAGACAAAAAGGGATTAGAGCCTCAGGAACAAATGGAGAAGAACTGAAGGGAGTTGCGTGTGTGTTCATTACCTATGTTGTTTGTTTAATATGAGATTCGGATGAGCTGTTGAATGTTGCTTTGTTTATATAAAGTAGGGGTGAAAATTGTGGACGATTTTTGGAAAAAAGTGTATTTCAGAGGTTTGATGGCTTATAACACCACTTCATTTGGAGTAATGTCATAAAATTATATATCAATGGAAAGATAATTTGATCAAGAATGCAATCAAGAATGCAATCCAACAAAGTTTGTTCAATTACCTGTATTTAATCAAATGTTATAGCCAAATAACCAGAAAAAGGAAGCACAACTTGCTTAGGTTGACTTTTGTCAGTGTGTTATGTGATTGCTATCAAGTAGGTTGGTTTTTTGTGTTCTTTCATTTAGTGAGGGTATAAAACATAATAAAATTATAGAAATGGCACAAAGAGTTGAATGGTCCCCAGAAAGTGATGTAAGATTGTACTATTAAGTGAACAAGGCTACAGTTATGAAGAAATTAGAAGAGAGATTGGGGAAAACTTAACCAAAGTTGGCCTTTCTATATTTTTGAAGAGGTATAAGGAGACTTAGTCACTACAAAATCAGACTTGTTAAGGCAGGGAAAGGTGTACAAAGGCAAGTGACGATGGACGAGTGGAGAGACTTTGCCTACAAGACAGAAGAAAATAATCTGGGTGTATACAAGATGACATGGCGCAATGTAATGGGAAGTTGAGTGCAAGGACTGGTCTAAATGTTAGAATTCTAAGGAAAAAGCCATTGTTATCTCTCAAGCATAGGTTGAAAAGATTAAACCCATGTTAACTGGACAGTGGAACAATGGGACACTACCTTGCTTGGTAGTGATGGTACTAAATATGCAAGTTTCTTTAATTGGAGAAGAATCAGAGAAGATTTACATCCTACTTGCATTACACTGACTGTGAAACACCCAGACAGTGTGATGATCTGGGGTTGTATGGCAGCAAAAGGTGTGGGCAGAATTTGCGTCATTAATGGGAATATAAATGCGGAAAAATGCATAAACGAAAAACGTGAGCCCAAACTGAAGTGTTCCGCAGGTGATCTTTTCCCAGATACTGAAGCATTTATATATTTTCAACAGGATTCAGCTCTATGTCGTGTTGCTGCTGTGTGCAAAAGGTGCATTCAAGATAATGATATTTCACTGCTGGAATGGCCTGGGAATAGCCCACACTTTAACCCAATCAGAAATCTTTGGAGCCGACTAAAGAAATTTGTTATTCAGAAGCAACCCAGCAATAAAGCCCAATTAACAGAGGCAATAATTCAGTCTTGGTTTCACATTATTACAGCTGCAGAACTAAAAACTTGGTTCACTTCATGGGAAGGCGTTGTAAGGCCGTAATTAAAGCTAAACGTTACCAATGGTTACCAAAGGTTTCACGTTTTTTCTTTATGACTGCTGTTCTAATAAATACTCCTTCATAAAATTCATTGCATTACATCCTTCATTATCTTTCCATTACTATATAATTTTATGGTATTACTCCACACAAAAGTAGTGTTATGAGCCATCAAACCTCAGAAATACACTTTTCACAAAAGGTTTCCACAATTTCGGCCACTAGGAGAAGTTGTTCATTTTAAAGTTAATGTTTTCTTTATATGGGATCAGATTATTATTATTTATGTTTCATGATTATATGTGTGTTGGAAGCCGCCCAGAGTGGCTGGGGGAACGCAGCCAGATGGGCAGGGTATAAATATAAATTATTATTATTACTACAGTGGTACCTTGATTTAAGAACAGTCCTCTTCTGGAAAAGATTAAGTTTGTAAACTGAGGTACCACTGTATCATCATCATCATCATCATCATCATCACCACTGCTACTTCTACCTGAAATTCAATAAGCCTAGCTCTTCTCTGGGATGAATTTTGTTTGGCCCAGTCATGGCATCCCTCCATCTCCAATGTCAGTCGTCTCTTTGGTCAACCCAAGACTGACAGGAGCAAAAACAAAAACAGAAAACCTGAAGCTACTTATCTTTCCTAACAATTCTGAAGCTGACATTTAAGATGGCCTGGGCAGTTGAGACCAGCCCAATCATGGTAGAAAAAGGGATAATTTGAGGAAGATTGTTCAAAGAAAAAAACTGTAAGTTACTGTTTATTGTGGGGGTGTTATAGGGGGCGCTGTTGAGCTCTGTGAAAATTTATGAGGTTGGTCCATAGAGGTATTTTTGGAATTTCCAGGCAGATATGACGATCCCACAGGGAGCCTTACCAAGAGAGGCCACGATCCCACGATTCTCCTCCATGACGTCCTTATGCAGAGCTCTCTGGTCAGGATCCAGCAACGCCCACTCCTCGTCCGTGAAACGAACAGCGACATCTTCAAAGCACACTGGACCCTAAAAGAAAAAGGGAAATGTCCTCCTCTGAGACAGCAGAAATATGATCTGCTCCACAATGCTCTGTTGTTTCCTTCCTGTACATTGTGGTGTTGTTTTAATACGATTGCTTTGCTGCACATTTTATTTATGGATGCTTATTTTATTCTAAATTTAAATCATGGGTATTCGTTTCTGTGCAAATAAGTTGTACTCCACCTTGTGTTTATTCAAGTCATTCTGCCTAGGCAAGCATTCCAGTTTCCCCAATGGAAGGATCCACTTTCCTCTCCTTGTGAGCCGTTCGGATTCCTCCCAATGCCCTAGAGCCAAATTCAAGGGATCCATGGAGGAATGGGGAGGGGGAGGAATGGGGGGGGCAAGCCCCATTTTGCAGCCGATGGGGCTGGTTAGGCGAATCCAGGCCGCTATTTGTTCTCATTTGTCCACTGCTTAGCAAACCAATTTTAGCATTCAGTGATCAATTTAGAAATAAAATAAGCCTATTTTGGATGGCCATCTGTCTTGGATGATCCAGCAGAGATTCCTGCACTGCAGGGGGTCTCCTGGCTCTGAGCGACAAGCAGGGAGAGTGGCTTCTGGCAAAGGAGAGGGTTAGCCACCGGTGGCTCTTCCTTCTCCTGACTCACATCAGCCTCTCGACCTTCCTCTCCCACTCTGCCTCCTTCCTCTTCTGCCTCTGATTCTGCGCTGCATTCTGCCACAGAATCTCCCAGCTCACTGAACCCTGTTACTCCTTCGGCTTCTGACACCTGCTCTTCCCTGGCTTCTCCCTCTTCTCCGTCTGATCACTCATCCTCCTTACTCCTCCACTTCTTGGGAACTGAGCCATCTTCCCTTCCTGGTTCCCAGGCTGCTTCCTCCCACCACTCCTCTGTGCCCAACCAGTCCATGACATTGCTCCATCCCTCGGCCTCTGTCCCCACAAGGCAGCTTCCCCTGACCTGATCTGGTTCCAGAGCCGCTGCTTCCCTTCTGCCCCCATGAAAAGGCGGATCAGGAGGTCTTGCCGGCATCCTTCTGCCACCTGCAAGAGAAAAAAGGTAAGCAGGACGCCAGGAGTGCCTGCTTCTCTCACAGGTGAAACAGGGCATCTCTAACTACAGATGGGCCTTTGAGAAAGCCTCACCCGCTGAGTGCATTTGGAGGTTTGTGCCCATTTCATATGTTTGTTTGTGCAGAAATACATCTCCCCTCCTCTGGACCCTTGTTCCCAACTGTCTCCCCCCAAAACAAGATGAAAGGAATCCTCAGATGAGTTGGAAAACCAAGAGAATGAGACCAGTGGAGAAAAACCACCTTCCTCCTTACCCAGTGGCCTCTCTCTGGTGTCCAACGGAGGCCTCTCTGCCTCACAGGAATCCAGGTCCATTTCTGCAAAGAGATCCTTTCCCTGAGAAAGAAACAAGGATTCAAAACAGAGAATGGGAAGAAATACTAGAAAGAGAATGACAAAGACTTGAAGGGTGCGAGATCTCATTCCATCGATTCTTTCCCAGAAAAAGATGGGCCATCAGCAGACCATTATGGGATGTTTTCTGTCCTGTTTGGAACCCCTTGGGAGTATCCAGAGGAAAGTCTCTCTCACCTGTTTACTCTGTTCCTGCTTCCTCTCCTGTGCCTGACTCAGGAGGAAACCTTCGGCCAGGGCCACCGCCTGCGAACTGGTCTCCGCTCCACAGTCCCTCACCCAGCTCTCCATCTCCGGGGGAAGGACAGCCAGGAACTGCTCCAAGATCACCAGGTCCAGCATCTCAGCTTCGTGTGCCTTTCTGGCTTCAGCCACTGACGGTCAAAGGTGGTAGAGTCGGCTGCAAACCTCTCGGGGTCCTTTGGCCTCCTGGCAGCAGAACTGCCTCAACTGCTGGCTCTGCACCTCTGAGCGGAGGGTGTCCACCTCACCATGGATCTTCTGCACAGAGTTTTCCCAAAAACCCCCACTGCTCCCAGTTTGGTTGGCATGGCCTCTTCCTGTTCCAGGGCCAGCTGAGTCTTGCTCATCCATCTGTGCTCTCAGGAAGCCTCTGAGAGATCAGAAGGAACCCTTTGGTCTTCTGCCAAGTTCTGTCCGTCTAAATGAGAAGCTGCAGCAAATCCTACAAAGCAAATACATTGTTCTGTTACAGAATTTGTAGGACGGGGGGGGGGGGGATGGTTCCCTGAGCAAGTATGGATGAGTCTTGCTGGGAACCAGGGCTGAAGTGCGCCGCATCCCAGACCATGAGATATCTTTTTGAAAAGAAAGAGGAGGAGGAAGAGGAGAAGAAATAAATCTCTAGCCTTCTAGCAATGCAGAATGTGGAGGCAACTGAAGGGATTTCTGTCAGATTAATCATCCTGGTTTCTCCATCCTTCCAGTCAATGCATGAAGCCAGAACCGAATGACAAGGGAGTCATTTGTATCTTGTGATAAATGGATGCTTTTCTCTAGTGGGGGTCCTGACCTGGGGGTCCTCGGGAGTTGAGAGCCAGTGTGGTGTAGTGGTTAAGAGCGGTAGATCCGTAATCTGGGGAACCGGGTTCACGTCTCCGCTCCTCCACATGCAGCTGCTGGGTGACCTTGGGCCAGTCACACTTCTCTGAAGTCTCTCAGCCCCACTCACCTCACAGAGTGTTTGTTGTGGGGAGGAAGGGAAAGGAGAATGTTAGCCGCTTTGAGACTCCTTAGGGTAGTGATAAAGCGGGATATCAAATCCAAACTCTTCTTCTTCTTCTTCAGCCCCACCCTCACCCCACCTCCACTCCCTGCTTCTGTCCCCTTTTCTGCAATCTCTGCCGCTGTCCAGACAGATTCGTGGGGTGAGATCTCTTTTCTCTCTTCTGAGGGCCAGGAATGTATCTGACCAACCCCCTGAGGGCCAAGTGGGCGGGGCCAAAGACATCTCCCTTGATTTTTGGATTTATTATTATTCTATTAGATAGCTTAACACAAACTGGTTTTGCAATGCAGCAGCCAGACTATGGCCTGGGATCCCTCTCTTTATTCCTGGCCTCTCTTTCCTACTTTTCCTTCCTCCCTCCCCGTGGTTTGTTTTTTTTCCGGGGGGCTAGTGCTCACCTCCTCCTCCAGCTTTGGAAAACCATTTGCAGATGTTTCCTCGGTTGTGCAATGAGGCTGAGCGACGTCACACAGAGTTAAAGTCCCAGGGACTCCTTTGTTTAAAGAAGGGAGATTTCGTGGGAGTCAGGGATCCTCTGATCTGCAGGAAGGAGAGCGTGGCAGACCTGGCCCCTCCCTGGCAGGACCCTCTCCTCCCTGACTTGGGGTCCCCCCAGGCCCCCTCCCCTGCTGCAGCCCTGGGACCCCCACCAGATCCCAGAGAGAGAGGAGACTCACCAGATCCCAGGAGGGGGCAGCGAGGCAGCCCTTGCAGGAGAGACACCAAAGCAGGAAAGGACTGGGGAGGGAGGGGCCTTGGCTCTGGAGGACCTCGCCCCCCCCTTGCTTCCTGGCCTCTCTAGGAAGGCAGCTCACTTCCCTTTAACCCTTGCCAAGCCGAGTCCCTCCAGCTCAGCCCTCTCTCGCTTGGCAGAACCTCAGATTCTTATTATTATTTATGGATTTAGGGGGGCAGCTGCCCCCCTGGCTACGCCAATGCCCAGATATCCTTTTGGGGGTGAGGCTCTTGGCTGGACTCTGAGCATCTCCCTCCCTTGGCCAGAAACCAGAGGAAGAGCTTGCAGGGAAAAGGGCTTTGCAGGAGGCAAGGAAGCTCCTCCTAGAATTCAGGAGTGGAGAGATAGGAGGGGATCCCAGGGTCATCTAGTCCAACCCGAAGCAAGAGAGGGCCGGGTCTAGTTTAATGTTTTATTAATTTTTAATGTTTAATAGGTTATTGTATTTTAGTGTTTGATTGGAAGCCGCCCAGAGTGGCTGGGGAAACCCAGCCAGATGGGCGGGGTATAAATAAATTATTATTATTATTATTATTATTATTATTATTATTATTATTACAACCCCCAGCAATGCAGGAATCTCAGCTAAAGGATGCATGGCAGATGGCCGTCCGATCTGTGCTTAGAAACCTCCAAGGAAGGAGAGTCCACCACCTCCCAAGGGAGACCTTTCCCTGCCCAACTGCTCTTAGATGTCCCTCAAGGCAGCGGATCCTGAGTTCTAGCACTGCTGAAACCATCGCACTGGCTACCAAGGAGGAACCGAGCAAAGTTCAAAATAAATAAATCCTATTCTCAAAATAAATGAGTAATACTTTCCTATGCATGCTTTTATACTGATATACAAAAGTATGCCATTTCCCTTTCCAGAAATGGATGATTGTTGTTATTATGTTTAGGGAAGCTTTTAATATTTGTTGGACTATTGTATTTTAATATTTTGTTGGAAGCCGCTCAGAGTGGCTGAGGAAACCCAACCAGATGGGCAGAGTATAAATATATTATTATTATTATTATTATTATTTATTCAATTGATCAGGTGAGTTTTCTCCTTTCGAAAGAGGGAGGTGGAATCTCCACGGTTGCTAGTAGCATAACGTTGAAAGACTAGGGAAATATGGGGAGCCCTGGAGCATCTGCTTGGCATGCAGAATGTCCCAGGGTCAACCCCTGATATCTCCTGCAAGGGCTGGACGAAATCCCTGCATGAAACTCTGGGGAGCTGCCAGTCAGTGTAGGCCAGGGGTCCTCAAACTATGTTCCCTGGGCCAAATCCAGCCCGCCAGGGTCGTTAATCTGGCCTGCACGGCCATTTCAGAACCCGCCAAGTGTCCGAGGCTGAAAGCATCTCGCTGCCCGCTCAGTCAGTCCCCATGCTGAGCTGATGTAAACGCCACTAGCGTGGTGGCAGCCCTACCAATGGAAGGCCAGGGGGTTTCGCCCGGGGACAGGGCAGTGTTGTCGTTTGGCTTGAAGAGCGAAGTTCAGGTTAGTGGAGGAAGGCAGACGTCGGTCGATTCGGTTTCATTACGTAGACGTTTACTTTAAAAGTGGTAGAAGGAAGTATAGTCCTATTTCTGTAAGTGGCACAGGGGTCTTTTCACTCATGTGGTTTACATGCTCTGAGAGATGGGATCTATTTTGTTATTTTAATTTTAAAAGGGTGGAGTGGAACCGGAGATTGACCATCTTCTTAGCCTGGGGCAGGGGTCAGCAACCTTTTTCAGCCATGAGGCGGTCCACCGTCCCTCAGACCATGTGGGGGGCCAGACTATATTGGGGGGGGGGGATGAACAAATTCCTATGCCCCACAAATAACCCAGGGAGGCATTTTAAATAAAAGTACACATTCTATTCATGTAAAAGCACACTGATTCCCGAATTGTCCGCAGGCCGGATTGAGAAGCTTCCCTACCCCTGGCCTGGGGAGCCACATTCTGGTTGAAGGAGGCCAGGATTGGCCCCCAAGGCTTGGGATGTCCCTCCTCCCCTGCAGTAGGACTTGGAATCCAGGAGAAAACTCTTGGAATAGCCTTGCCAGGTGCTCAGGGACAGACTCACCTGTCCCCATGTCCTTCTCTTTGCAGATGTGCTGCGGTTGCACATCTCTCCCCCAGACGTGAGTATTGGAGAGAACCAGAGCAGGGACTCAGACCTGCCCTCCTTGGCCCCCACTCTGCCCTCTCGGAAGTGGAGAAGCCCTCCCTTTGTGAGGAACTGACAGCCTGACTTTTGCCTTTCAGCTGCTGGATGAAGATCAGCTGCTGGAGGAAGATCCAGCCTCTCCTGAGCTGCAGAGGGTCAGGGTTAGAGAGGCGAGTCACCAGAGGATCGGGGCCGCCCTATGCCTCAGGGAGGATAAAAGCCGGAAAGCCCCAGTCCCAAGTTGTGGGAGCAACATTGTTGGTTGCTAGTTCCTGCCTGAGCTCCTGACCCGCCCTGGCTCCCTGCTTGCAAGCCTGTTCCTGACTTCACCCAACTCCCTGCCCTGCACCCAGCTTCAGCTACTACGGACTGCCTCCACGTTGCACCTTTCACCACGGACCGGACTTGGACCTAGCCTCTCGGGTAACCCACGGGACCAGCACAGTTTGCTCCCGCCACACCTGCACCCCCCTTCGTTGGGGTGCGTTCGGGAGGAACCAGAAGCCATGGCTGACCAGGCGGCTGCACTGATGGCATTGGCTCAGGAAAACCAGGTTTTGACCCACACCGTTCAGCAGCTAAGCAATGCAGTTACAGCGCTTCAGCAGCGTTTGGACACGTTACCAGCTCCTGGAGCTGACGCCCCAGCTTCTGGCAAGTACCCAGTGGCCCTGCCAGAGAAATTCAATCGGTCCCCGGCCAGCTTTCCCATGTTTCTTGTCCAGAACAAGCTGTATATTCAGGGGCGATCCCGGAATTTCCCCGGTGGCCGCACCAAGGTGCACTTCCTGAACAGCTTGCTGAAGGACCGGGCAGCCAAGTGGGCATTGCCGCTGCTCCAGCAAGACTCTCCCTTGCTGACAGACTATACAGGGTTTTGCAACCATCTGGAAACCGCGTTCGGCAACCCTCAGAAGGGGAGTCAAGCCAATCGGGCGATTCGGAGGTTGAAACAGGACAAGTCCACAGTGGCCGCCTACGCCCCAGAATTTTGGTTGTTTGCACAGGACTTGTCCTGGAATGACTGCAACCTTCAGGACCAGTATCTCGAGGGGCTTTCGGATGAGATACTGGACCAGCTGGCCATGATGGATCGCCCCGCCACGCTGGACACCCTCATTCAACGGAGCCTGCAGATAAGACGATCGGTTGGAGGACCGTCTCCAGGCTCAGAGCGGCCAGCACTCCCGGCTCCAGTCCTTCCCAGCAGTTCCACGGCCACAGCGAAGTCGCTGGAGGAGCCAATGCAGCTTGGGGCAGCACGGCCTCGCCTCTCCCCCTTGGAGAAGACTCGGCGTCTGGAGGCAAACCTGTGTCTCTACTGCGGCGGGAGTGGACACTATGCCCAATCCTGTCCCGAGAAAACGCCGGCCACAGGGAAATGGCCAACCCCAGTAGCCGATGGCCCAGGCTACCTGGGGTCCCAAACACTTCATGATGGGCCCTCACGGGTGGAATTGCAACACCTCATAGTTCTGGTGCGTCTATATTCCCCTGGCGGGCCCTGGATTTTCACCCACACTCTGGTAGATTCAGGGGCAACCCGCTCCTATATGGACTCTGCCTTTGCCACCTGTCATCAGGTGCCACTCCAGGACAAGCCAGAACCGGTACAGGCGGAGGCAATTGATGGATAGCTCCTGCGCTCGGGTGCCGTTACTCAGGAGACTCAGCCCTTGGTCCTGTGTCAGCAGCAGCACCGGGAGGTGCGCACCTTGGACACTGTCACCATGCCCCGGTTTCCCCTGGTGCTCGGGATGGACTGGCTGGAGTCTCACGATGTTCAGATCGACTGGGTCAATCAGACTGTGCGCTTCCCAGACCCGTGTCCCCATGCTCGGTCTGAGATGCTAGTGGCCGCCCCCACGGGGGAAGCTGCGTAAACGCTCCCCGCTGTTTACCAGGACTACCAAGAAGTGTTTGAGGAACAGGGGGCAGACCAGCTGCCGCCTCATTGGTCTTTCGACTGCAGCATAGACCTCCAGCCCGGGGTGCCCCTGCCTGTGAGCTGCCTATACCCCCGACCGGAGCCAGAGCACTAAGCCTTGCAGGACTTCCTTCGCAAGAACCTGGAGCGCGGGTTCATTCGGCCCTCTACCACACCCACTGCCGCTCCAGTTCTCTTCGTTAAGAAGTGTAGGGAGCTTTGTCCCTGCCATGATTACCAGGCCGTAAATAAGATTACCATCCCAGCCCGGTATCCCTTGCCCCTTATTGCAGAGTTGCTGGAACGGGTGCAAGGGGTGCAGATGTTCACCAAGATGGACCTTCGGGGGGCCTACAATTTGATTCGGATCCGAGCCAGGGATGAGTGGAAGACAGCATTTGGGACCCGGTATGGGCAGTTCAAATACCTGGTAATTCATTTCGGGTTGTGCAATGCACCTTCCCTGTTCCAACAGTACATCAACCACGTGTTCCAGGACTTGCTAGACAAGTACGTGGTGGTGTACCTAGATGACATTCTGATTTACTCCCATGACCCAGCTCGCCACCAGGGTCATGTCCGGTCCATGTTGCAGCGCTTGCAGGAGCAATGCCTGTATGCTAAGCTCAGCAAGTGAAAGTTCCACCAGCGGTCAGTGGACTTCCTTGGTCACCAGCTCTTCACTGATGGGGTGCAGATGGATCCCGGGAAGGTGGCAGCAGTTCGGGAATGGGCAGCACCCCAGAACCGCAAGGACCTACAGCGGTTCCTGGGGTTCGCCAACTATTACTGGACCTTCATTGTGGACTATGCTCATCCCGCCACCCCGTTAACCCGACTGCTGTGCCCCAAGACACCATTCTCCTGGGACAAGGAGGCAGAGGTGGCGTTTCAGGGGTTGAAAGCCTGTCTCC